CTAAAGGGGGATAACAACACACAAAAGGGGTCTGAAAAGGGGAAAGATGAAGGGCAAAGAAGGTACCTGATATACAGGCATGGTGGAAAAGTCAAAGAAGTCTCAGAGTTTCCCAGGGCATGGCAGAAAAGTCAGAGAAATGTTAAAAAGAGAAACAGTGACATGAAACAGACCATGTCCAGGAAGGAAATACATTTCACCATCAGTCCTCTGGGATCAAGATTGGTCATTACATTCATCTGAATTCTGATGTCTTTTAATGCTATTTTCCTTTGTATTATTGTGGTCATTCTGTATATTCATCCCTTATGTCTACTTTCTTTGCTCTGACTAAGTTCATTTATTCAAAAAGCATTTTCTAGGTGCCTGCTACAAGCCAGGGAGCATGGGAGATACAGTCTTCCTTAACATCTCTGAATTCCTTATATTCATTTTTGATTCAATAGTATTCCATTACATTCAAATAGCACTATTCCTTCATCCATCCCTCCTATGTTGGTTACCTCCTCTTTATCTTTTTAATATCACAAAAATATTGCTATGAATATTTCCCTAATTCAGAGAACTGTTATAAAATTTCAGTGAATATGTATATTTCTATAGCACAGTGTCTGGAACATTATATGTGTTTGTTTCATTATTTATTCTTAGGAAAATTAGTCAATTCAACAAAAGGGACAGGTTTGAAGGCATAAGTACCTACTTGGTTGTTTTTGTTTTAATGTATATATGCACATGTATGCTTCTAAAAATCACTTTTATCAAAACACTTTGCCAACCTTAAAGCACTATATAAATATTTGATTTTATATCTTTATTATTGCCATTCTTTCTAGGAATCTCCTTATTCATTAATTCATTTTATCCCCAAGCAAGGTAGATAGGGCAAATATCATTTTCCTGATTATACAAGGAAATGAAACCCAAAGTCATATGTTGGTCGCTTTGATAAACCAGAATTTGGATTTGGTTGAAGTAGAAGCATCGTGTAAAAGAGTAATTTGGCGTAAAACTAGAGTTTGAATCTCAGATCTTCTAGTTAATATCTTATATGACCCTGGACAAGTCATTTCATCTCTATGGGCCTCGGTTTTCTCAGCTGTAAAATGAGTTTGGACTTATTATCAATCAAGGAACCATCCACCTCTATATTCTAGAATCTAATAGTACATTCTAAAGGACTGATACACGGACTTTATTTCAAATCGCCTATGACTATGAGTTTGCCAAATGACAATAGGACCTTGATAAAGCCACAAGGCATGTTACACAAACTCTTTCTTTTAAATATTTGGGTTTTTTTTAAGTTTTGATTTCCAAGTTCTAACCCTCCTCTCCCCACTCCCTGAGATAATAAGCAAGCAGATACAGGATATACATGTGTAATCATGTGAAACATTTCCATAGTATTCATTCCATACAAGAAGACATGAATAAAAGAAAAGGGATGAAAGAAAGTGAAAACTAGCATGGTTCAGTCTGTATTCAAACAGTATCAGTTTTTTCTCTGGAGGCAGATAGTATGCTTCAGCATTAGTACTTTGGGATTTTCTTGTATCATTGTATGGCTGAGAACAGCTAAGTCATTCACAGTTCTTCATTGAACAATATTGCTGTTTTTGTGTACAATGTTCTCCTCATTCTGTTCACTTCACTTGGCATCAGTTCATGTAAGTCTTTCCAGGTTTTTCTGAAATTATCCTGCTTGTCCTTTCTTATAGCATAATAACATTCCATTACAATCACATACCACAGCTTGTTTAGTCATTCCCCAATTGATTGGCGTCCCTTTGATTTCTAATTTTTAGCCACCACAGAAAGAGCTGACAACCTCTTTTCAGACCTTCTCCCAGTATCTGGCTGGCTCGCCACTTTTTCTCAGAAAAGTTAGTTTCACACAAAGCAGAAATATATCTGATTGTGTAACAACAGCTCCAGAAATTGTTTTCCAGCAACTAGTCCTTTTTCATTTGGTGCTTCATGATCCACTGACCTTTGATATTAAATAAACCAAGCTAAGCCATTCATATCATCAGTTGATTTCAACCAAAAGGCAAGATAGCCACCCCATGTCACTGAGCCAACTGAAACTAAATAATAATCTATTATTATGCTAAAAGTGATACAGGATGAAGGGCCCGCTACAGAAAGCCAGTAGGTTTAGATCGAGTTTCAGGCAGTCTCCAAATCAACTCTGATTGGAATCATTTTCTCAGTCTCCATGGGTAAATACCATACCGATAAACATATTGTCTATGATCAGTACCTCTATTTTCTTGCCAGTTATGAATAGTAACAGCTGACATCTGTTTATATTTAACAATTACTGTCACAATCTGGGTCCAAGGGGCTAGGCATCATCTCTTACAGAGCCAGGTGGATATGGTCCAGATTGAGTTCTAGGGAAGCATGATTACATAAAAAGAAGGATAAGTTCTTTTTCTCTCACTCTTTAGCTCTTTATATCTTTATCCTAGGGCTTTAGGGGAGAAAATAACTTAAAGTTTAAGTTTGGCTCATGTCTAGGTTTTGCTCAAAGTGGGAGGAGGAAAGTATAGCATGTACTCACTATGCATTCTGGATCAGGTATAGGACAGCTATTTATTTCCTTCACACAAATGTAATGCTAAATACAAAGATTTTTTTTTTTGCTTTTTGGTGAGGCAATCAAGGTTAAGTGACTTGCCCAGGGTCACACAGTTAGTAAGTGTCATGAGTCTAAATATAAACATTCTTAAGCAAGAATTAGCAGAAACTTCAATAAAAGATTCAGTAACTTATAAATATCATTATACTCTCCTGCAAGTTTGATATTTGGATAGCAAAATATGAAGCATTTTATAGAACTTATGAATAAGTATTTTCATTTCTTCTCAGTTCTGTAGTCTCTTCCCCATCTCTTTTGCAGAAGATGTACCTTGCAAGCCATCCAAACCATGGCTTGGGCTCATTCTCCTGTCTGTGGTTGTCTTCTCTTCCAAGAAGCGCTGCAGCAGATATTGTGCCTATGGTATCGTATTTTATAATGCAGACAGCATTGCCTGACAGTCCCAAGAGATCTGACCTCTGGAAGTCAAAAAGCCACCTCTAATGCTAGAGAGGTCTATCTCAAGATCACTGCTCAAACACTTATGCTCATTGAAAGAACACAAAGCAGAAGAGGTAATCAGGGCTCTGGGATCCCATCTTAGACTTGCTAAACCAACCTGTGCTTTAGCTATCCTGTGCTCATAGTGTACTTTTTTTCTGCTAGGGTAAGGGAAAGGCCAAGTTATCCCTCTCCAACCCTTCTTGTGAAGCCTAGAGAGAGAGAACTATTTGTTCCAGGGACAGTAAGGAAAGAGCAAGCTAAAAGATGTCTCTCATTATTAAATTAATGTAGCCGCCCCCCCCCACCCTGCCACCATCATGTGGCTAAGGAACCAATGGGAAAATAGCTCCATTATCCCAAAGCACTCAAATCCTACAGTGCTGAGCCAGCACATGTAGTCATCCAGAAACAGGCAAGGCAGAACCAGGAGGTAGCTGCACATCCCCCTGTATATGCCATGTGGCTATACTTGTAACACTTCAAGGTTTACAAAGTGATCAAAGGTATTTTCTCATTCAATCCTCAGATCATCCCTTTCCAGTAGGCACAGCAGACATTATCATACATGAGTTTTAGATGAGGAAACCAACATTAAGATAGATTGAGTGACTTGTCTGTGGTCATACAACTGGAGAGAGTCATAAATGGAATTTGAACCTAAGTCAGTCCTGACACTAAGTCTAGTATTTTCCATTCTGCCATGATGTTTTTCACAAGCAATGAAAGTACAGGATCATATCGACTGAGACCTATGCAAGTGTTTCATCTCTCCTATTAAATTATACATTCCTTCTGGGAGGCAAAATGTCTTTTAAATCTTTATGACTAAACTAACATCACCACCCCTATTGCCTAGCATTATGCAATAGAAGATACTACTTTATGTGTTTAATGTAGAGAATAATTTACATTTCAAATTTATTTTGCTATGATAAATACATTCAGCATCAGATTGGCTCTACTATATGAGCTGGGGCATGAAAGAAAGAGGCTTGACATTCATTAAAAGTGGACTTCATTGAACATGGTGAATGTGCTTCTGAAAAGTTGCATGTAAATCAAATTTTTATAAAACCATTATTTTTTTCTATAACATCAGAAAACACGTTATACTTCAATGCTTCAAATGATCTCAGACCTCTGTTGTAAACCTAACCTGGGTTCAAATCTCATTTCTGACAGCTTAAAAAAAAAAAAAAAGATGACAGCAAAAAAAAAAAAAAGTAACCAAACTGCAGCTTGGGGAGGCAATGTAATATAGGAGCAATGTACTGACAAATAGAAGAAAGAAGGAAATTCAAAAGGAGCCATAGACTAGTAGGGCAGTATAGCACACTATCCTAAATTTGAGATAAGCCAAACTAATAACAACAATAAAAGACTAACATTATTATAGCATTCACTATGTGTCCAACACTATGCTAAACACTTTATAAATATGATTTCATATGAGCTTCATAACAATCCAGGGAGGTAATAGGCACTATTACTATCCCTATTTCACAATTGAAGAAACTGAGGTTAAGTGACTTGCCCAAAATCACAAAGTTAGTAAATGTTTAAGGCCACATTTGACCTCAAGTCTTGCTGACTCCAGGATCAGCACTCTATCCACTGAACCATCTGGCTATATGTAGTGGAGATTTATGGTTTCATAAACAGTCCTTTTTCTATGTTTATTTGGATAAGGAAATGTTTGTGTGGGTGTTGATTTTTGTCGATTTTATGATAAAAATATTTCCCCCATTAGAATGAAATCTCCTAGAGAATAGGAACTGTCTTTTTTGTTGTTGTTTGTACTTATACTCCCAGGACTCACACATTCCTGGGACATAGGAAATATTTATTAAGTGCTTTATCTACCTATCTGCCTATCTATCTATCTATCTATCCATTCATCTATCTATACTTCTATCTATTTAGTCTAAAAAAAAAGAAGTACACTGGCTCTGGAGTCAGAGGTCCTGAGTTCAATGTCCACATCTGACACTCTTATATGTCCTGAGGCATCACTTGGCCTCCCTGGACCTCAGTTTCCTACTTAAAATGAAAGCTGGACCAGATACCTTCTGATGTCTTCTAGTTCTAAATCTTCTTCTTAGCAAGCATCCTATGATATGATAATGTGAAGACAAGAGATTAAGACCCCTCTATGTCTTAACAGTTTTATCAGCTACTGATGCAAAAAATTATATATATATATATATATACATATATATATTTACTTTTTAAGCCCCTCCTCTCCAAATAGGGATTTCAGGGTATAATCAACACCCACTCCTTCCCAGTCACTAGTTATCAGTATCTCTAAGCAGTGAACAATGACGTGCTTGGCTGAATGAATCCCTTTGATTAAACTGAGACAATTTACTCAATAAAGAGGGAAAGAGATCAGCATTTAAGGAGTACTTATAAGCACAAGGGACTTTCAGCTAGATTTTAGCTCAGTGGAAACATTTGAATCCATCAGAAATGGGTTCTATCAATTGAATATAACACAGTCCCTGTTCAAATGTGGGTTTCCAGAAAGTTTCCGCAGGTTTGAAAGTTGTTGTGGCTCCATACTCAATCAAAACCATAGTTCACAAGCTCCAACTCTTGTGTTTACATTGTGAACCAGAAAAGATAAATTGACTCAGAGGAAACTACTGTTAACCAAATTAAGAGATGACAAAATATCCCCTCACACCCTGAGGGATACCAGCAATGAACAGAGGGAGTGAAGAAATACAAAGAACACATATGATCGAGGAACGTGAATGGAGAGACACATATTTAAAGAAACCTGTGTGGTCAAAGAGTACACACAAATAGAGAAACAAGGAAACAAATACGGCCTGGGCACATGGATGGAGGGTACTCACATAGTGTATTTTGGCCAGAGTACCCATGCTACTGAGGCAGCTCAGCACTTCAATACTGTTGTTGTTCAGCCATTTTTAAGTCGTGTCCAACTCTCCGTGACCACATTTGGGATTTTCTTGACAGAAATACTGGAATGGTTCGCCATTTTCTTCTCCAACTCATTTTGCAGATGAGGAAACCGAGGCAAATAGGATTAAGTAATTTGGCCAGGGTCACACAGCTAGTAAGTGTCCTCTAATGCTACAGAGCTGTTACTATCCTCTGGTGATGCAATTGTGCTGCACTGCTGCTCTTTGTGAGGCACCATTGCATTGCAGCTTCACTCACTACTGAGCACTGAATGCCATCAAGTCTTGTAGGCATTAAGTCTCTCTGTTCACAGTATATCCCTGGTCTCCACTCCACATTGTGCAGTCTCTTTCTAGCTGACTACTGGGGTCACAGGGCTGCTCTCTGCTGCCATCATCTGGTCATCAGCTCTTCTACCTCAAGGTTACCTATACTATTCTCTGAACTAGAGTGCCTCAGAAAGCTAAAATCCTTTTAACCCTCATATCCTAAGGATATGATAATCTCACTGAGCCCAAAAGGCAGTAAAAAAAAAAAAAGCAGAAACCTTCAGCCTAGGAATAAGGGTTTTTGTTTTTCCTTTTCTCTGATATCTCCAGCTGCCACCCAAAATTCTTGACCCCCATAAACTATTTGATTTGTTATTTGAAAATTCCTTTTAACTCCAGTCAAATTCTCAGTCAGCATCACCTGTAGCCATTTTTACACAACACCCCAACAGAGGATCCATGTGGGGATGGAGTAATGAGTTTCCATAAGTCTCCCTTCCCCTAAAAGCTCCTTGTTGCCCTGCAAATAAACCCAGGTTCAAGAAAAAAAGTAGGTCTAATGACTCCTTAGTTCCTTTATTATAAATTCCTGCTGTTATTGTACCTACCTACCAACAGCAAAATCGATGGTCTTTGTCTAGCCTCACTGACAACAACAGACTCCACCAATGTCCTTTCATGAGTCTATGATACAGTAAGTTTAAAGACACAGACACACAGCATTCCCGCAAATAGGATGGCATTCGATTGTCTCTCTTTGGCTCAGTTGGCTTACCCTGATATGAAGTCAAATACAATCCCAGCTCCAGGTTAAGAAAGGAGAGAATAAGAAAGAATGCAAAAGAGGGGGACAGAAGGAGCAGCTAGGTAGCTCAGTGGATACAGTGCAGGGATTGGAGTCAGGAAGATCTGAGTTCAAATCTAGCCTCAGATAATTACTGTATGTGTGACTCTGAGCAAGTCACTTAACCCTAGGTTGCCTTAGTTTACTCATCTATGAAATAATAGCACCTTACCCTCCAGGATTGTTGTGAGGATCAAATGAGATGATGTTTGTAAAGTGCTTAGTATGGCAACTGAGCAGCTAGGTGGCACAGTGGATAGAGTGCCAGGACTGGAGTCAGGAAGAACTTAATCCTATTCCAGCCTCATATACCTACTAGCTGTGTGACCCTAGACAAGTCACTTAACCCTGTTTGCCTCAATTTCCTCATCTGTAAAATTAGCTGGAAAAGGAAATGGCAAACCACTATAGTATTTCTGCCAAGAAAAGCCCAAATGGGATCACAAAGAGTCAGACATGACTGAAATAACTGAACAACAAACAATGCTTTATTAATCACAAATAAGAAAGAACAATGGATTTGGGGAGAGAAGATCTGGTTTTCATTCCTCCTCTACTTATTACTTTTATGACCTTGGACAAGACTTTTGGAATATGGTTTCCTCATCTAAAAAATGGACTAGATGATGGATATGGACTGGATGGACTAAGGCCCCTTCTAGCTCTTAATCCTAGGTAGTGCTTTAAGGCTAGAAAGCACTTCTTTATAACACACCTCTGTGAGGAAGACAATGGTGCAAATATTATTATCATCATTTCACAGATGGGACCAAGACCCAAAAATATTAAAGTGGCTTGACCAGGGACATCCAAATAGTATCTGAGCCAGGATTCCAACCTAAGTCTGACTGCAAACACCATACTTTATCATTACACTTTATGACCTTAATGAACAAGTGTGCTCATGAGTGAATAATATCGTGTTTCTAATTATTTCACAATATCATAGAATTTCAGAGTTGGGAGAGACCCCAGTGGACATCTAGTCCAACGCATTCCCAAGCAAGAATCTCCACCACTTGCAGAAGTAGTTAATTCATCTTTTGGACAACTCTAATTGTTAGGAAGTTTTACAAGATAAAGTTTCTTCTTTACAACTTCTAGTCAGTAGTCCTCATCCTCACCCAGACCAAACACACCAGATCTAATCCCTCTTCTGTATGGTGGACCTTCAAATACTATTATCTTTTAAGTGATGATATCACCCCAAACCAAAGTTATTGCCTGAATGATAGGTTTTATTCACAGAGCTTGTCAAATCCCTCATTTCCTCTCTTTTGTTTTCCCTCGCAGGTATCAAAACTTTTAAAGGTCAGTACTTTCACAGCCGGGAGTACAAACATCCCGATCTGTTCAAGGATAAGAGAGTCCTTGTGATTGGTATGGGGAACTCTGGTACAGACATTGCTGTGGAGGCCAGTCACGTGGCTAAAAAGGTATGGACCTTCAGGTTACTAATTGTAATATAAAATGTGCTGATATGCTAAATGGCCTTTTAAAAATGTAGCCTCCCTTCATTATTTGTAAATTTCATTGTAAATTCTGAATTTGTTATTTCTCTAGACAGGAAGGAAGGAAAGTAGGAAGGAATGGAGGAATGGAGGAAGGAAGGAAGAAAGAAAGAAAGAAAGAAAGAAAGAAAGAAAGAAAGAAAGAAAGAAAGAAAGAAAGAAAGAAAGAAAGAAAGAAAGA